TGCAGCTCATTATAAATATGCAGTCGCTGCTGGCGCTACCCCAATCATCTCTGCAATCAGAGCTTTTAATTAGGTTAATTAAATTGTATCAAATCTCGCAGGGACGCAGTTCACTGATGCTGATGAGGCAGCCAAAACAGACCCCAGCTCCTCCGCTAATGAAGGCCGCTGCCTGCCTGCGCAGTGAGGGAGCCCGAGCGCATAATAAACGGGCGCGTCCTCTGGGAGGAGCTGCTGCCCAGGCCCGGCTCTGGGGACCTGGCAGGGGGTCCGCATCAAGCCCACCAGGCTCCAGCTGCAGCACAGATTCCCACCCCGGGGACCACCCCATTCACTGGAGAACTAAACCCGGGGCAGCTTGGGAGCCCGGGCAGGTGGGCAGTGTCGGGGCCCTGAGCACCTGCCACTTGCACGCGGGAAACCGGGTGTGCCCCCCAAGATCCACTGATTTCATCTGAGGTTCCCTCCCTACTTCTCTCCCAGAATGGCCTGACAAGGCCAGGACTCCATCGCCTAAACACACACACACACAGCCCTGTCACTGCCCCTCTCAATTGTCTTATTAGCTAGAGAGGCCAGGCTGGGACTGGAAAGCTCACCCAGCCATTGCTGGCCTGGTCTCCATCTGCCATGGAGGCCATCTGCCCCCCGTCGGGGGCAGGCGGGGAGCAGTTCATAATGCTACCAGCCAGTAACGGGGGTGGGGGCGCGGCCCCCTAGTCTCCATGTGCCAGATGGATCCTGCAGCTTCCCACCTACCACTCCACCTAAAGAGCCCTCTCTGAGGGAGGGACTTGTCCTCGACCTCCTGGGATCAAATTAGCTAGAGATGGGAGGCAGCGTCCCTCCCCAGCCCCTGCAGATCCGGAGCCGACAGGCCCAGTCCCTTGGCGATACCGTTGGCTGCTGGAGACCACAGGCTCCAGAGCCAGAGGGCCTTGCAAAGGCTCTCCCCTGCCTTAGAGCAGGAAGGCAAATGCTGCTACCTCCAAAGGGGCTGTCCCCAACCCTCCACTTGCCCTAGCTCCGACCCCTCTTAACCCGTCACTGGTCTCTGCGGCCGAGCAGCTGAGGAGAGAGGATGGGGAAATTTCCAGTGCTCTCGGGACATGTTGTTTCTGCTGTAAACGCTGGGTTTTTTTTTTTTTTTTTTTTTTTTTTTTTTTTGGTTTGGAAAGGTTTTTTTGGTTTTTTTTTTTTTCCACTCAGTAATGTAAAAACATGAAACCTGAAACCAACCCCCCACATTTGTCACCTCAAAAGAGAAGCCTTTGGGGTAACTGAGAGAAAGCTGTAAATGAGTCAGGCTGATTCAGGGCGGGGGGGGGGGGGGGGGGCCTGCCCAGCTGCCTCCTGGGGCACCACAATTTCATTAACACTTATGATCTGAGCACGGCCATCAGGTGACAGACAGCAGAAGGAAAGGAAAGGGAAGGGAAAGGAAGGGAAGGGAAGGGAAGGAAAGGGAAGGAAAGGAAGGGAAAGGGAAAGGGAAGGGAAGGAAAGGGAAGGGAAGGGAAAGGAAAGGGAAAGGAAAGGGAAAGGGAAGGAAAGGAAAGGGAAAGGAAAGGAAAGGGCTTCCTTCCCACCCTTAACCCCAAACACAGCAGCTCCCAGATAAACTACTCTTGTCTAGAAATAGCTAGGTCCCGGGCTCTCTTCCGGCCCAAGGTCTACCACCACCAAAAAAAGGGGGCTCAGGACTGTACCTCAGTCCCAGCACCAAGCACCCTGTTCCTCTGACACGAGAGAGGACACAGCTCTTGTCATTATCAGGGTTAACAAGTGAAGCAGACGAGACTGGACAGAGACAACTAGGTGAACTTTGGTTATGAGAGATACAGAACCTTCCACATGGAATGATGATGGGTCCGGCGATGAGGAACACGGGAGATTCCATACAGGGAGTCTGCAGAGGCAGGAGAGAGTTTTTCCTTTCCTCTCTCCGACTAGAGCAGTTTAGGAAAGAACAAGCAGAAGCATGACCCGGGCAGCCTCTTGAGCTTCCAAACTCTAAGGGGTGGACTTGGGAAAACCAGCTCTGCCTTTCCGGGTTTCGTAGCTTCTCTCCAATCCTTCCCTGCACTTTCTGCTGAGACAGACCCACCGAGCTGGGTGAGGGCCCCTCCAGCAGGGAGGCCCGATGACCAGCCCCCCACAAGACAGCCTGCACCCCTGACCCCAGGAGGCAGCCGCCCGAACCCAAGAAACCTGCAGGCTCAGCCCTGACAGTATTCTGGGTCCACCCCCAATTCCTCCACTCACGGGGGCTTTGGGCCAAGACTCCCACCCAAGCTTTGGCCCACCCTTGCCCAACACCCTGTGCACGAGGCTGTGAACGGACGCGCTGGGAGAGCTTGAGGAAGGAGGCCAGCACCGCACACCCACTTGCCTCACTGGTTCAAGTCCCAACAGGCCCTGGCCTCACCGGCCTCCACAGGCAGGCAGAGCAAGTCTGCGTCTGCTGGCTGCCTTCCCTGCTGGAGGACGTGCAGCTCTAATTGTTCACCGCCCCACAGCCAGCAGCAGGGGAGAGACAGCGAGCTACACACAAACCCCCACAACCACACGTGGGGAGACCCCTCCTATTTCCCCGGTGGAACCCCCCTCGATGTGGGACTCAACGACAAGCTTCCTCCATAGGCCTCACTAGAAATACGAGGGGAAAGCCCTTTCCTGCCCCATCCTTGTCTTGGGGACACATTAATCTCAAAGTAAGGGAGCAGGGGTAGAGAAAATCTTTTTCCCAAGAGCTCTCCCCTATGGCATTAAATCCAGTAAATAAATACACACTAAGCACCTATGGAGTATAGATTGCTTCCAGGAGAAGCAAAGAGTGCTGAGAGTAGACACCCGCACCCAGAGAAACAACCCCAGTGAAGGGGCAGCAGCTCCACCTACTGGGCCTTTTCCTACCCTGTTGCCAGGCAGCAGTTCCCTCCGGAGTCAAAAAAAAGATTTAATCTGAGAATAAAGCTAGGGCTTGACACTCTCCTGCTTGAGTCAGAAGGGCTCTAAGAAGCGGCAATGGAATGGAACCAAGGCAGGATAGTGGGGTTCTCTTCTGGGGAGACCTGGGTGTTCCACATCAGCTACTGGAGCTGACGCCTTGGAGACCTCATTTGCACAAGAGACCTGAACCACACAAGGTCTGACTCACAGAAATGCTTTCCACCTCCGTAGGCTGCCCACATTCCCCTCGGCACAGCCAGAGCAGGCTGCCACCAAGAGCCCAAACCACTGGTTGGGCCTGGAGGCGTGGATCCTAAGGAAACAACAGTCTCTCCCCTTCCCAAGCAAGGGGCCAGGAGTCAGCCATCCCACTGAGCACCAAAGCATAAAGTCCTGGCCTGTTCTCAGGACTCATGAGGCTGGAGCATCTGTCTTGGGTTAATCACAAGGGGCAGCCAAGCTCTCCTTGGGCCTCAGAAACAGCCCTCGGTATAACAGCAATTCAGGACACTTAGCTTTATCCTGTATAATTCTCTCCCTCCAAACTGGCACTTACGGCACTCCAAGAGGATGGACTTTCCTGCTCCATTTGGCCCACACACACACCTCTTCACGCATGGCTGTGTACCTATAGAACATGCGAGGACCTTGCGTGTAACCTCTGGGCGTGAAACCCTGGTGGCGTGTTCATGTACCAGGTCTACAGGTGTGCATGCACCTGTGTTTATAAGACCTCAATAATGCTTCAAGAGAACGCATTAGATATACTCCTCACCTCCCACCCAGTAAGGACAAGAGACGGAGTCAGAGCAGCAGTACCAAGTTGCTCTGTGCTAGGAACAGACTGCTGCTCAGTGTACCCACTCCTCTGTCCAATACCCATGGGATAAATCCCTTCCTTGACTCAGGACTCAAGTCCCCAGACCCCCGTGTCATAAGACCATTAATATTCACTTAGCTCACCACCTCCCCAAGAGGAAGTTCACACACAGACTGGGAAGCACATCCCTTCTTAGGACAAAAGCTGCTAACTTCTATTACTTGTCCCTTCTTCCTATTTTCTAGGGCTCCCAGATCTAAATCCCACTGGGTACACCCCGAGGAAACAGGCTTTCATTTTAGGTTTTGTGCAGGAGCCTAGCAGTCATAGGAACTTATTAAGTTTTAATGATGATTTTTTTTTTTTTTTTTTTTTTTTTTTTTACTCTTTAAAATCCAGGCACAGCTGTTCCCCCTCCAGGGGGTGAGGTGTAAGCAAGCCTCCCAGAACCTGCTCCTCCCATATTTGCTCCAAGCATGCTCAGTCCTGTCTTGACTGCCTCAGCCTCCCACCCTTATAAGGGCAGGGAAGGGTGAGACTCTGGGAAGAAAGGTGCTGCACATGCCCTGGAGACTCTATCTCCAGGGCAAAGGCCTGTACCAAGCCATTTATAGCCTTGGAATCATGAGTTGGCCAGAAGAGCAGAGGGCAGGAACAGAGAGCCAGATCTGTCTGATTTCAGCTTCATCAATAAGGAGGTACCACCACTGTGGGTTCCTAGCTCCAAGAGTTTCTATCTGAGCTATAAAAAGAGAAAAAAATTCCTCCTTAGCTAATTTATGAAGCCATCTGAATTGAATATCCAATGAACACAGAAGGAAGGATGGTAAAATCAGTCTAGATAAAACATGCAAACAATAAAAATATATTTTAATTTTTACTATGAACGTACATTACTTTTTAAAAAATTAGCGACATAGCAAAATCCAAGGGCTAATTTAAGTAGAAAAGATATAAAATTGTTTGCTATAATTACAACTACAAAACAAAAACATAAGCAAAAACCAGCACGTACCTTTAGAGAATGGAGGAGATAAATGACAATGTTCACAATAATGTTCACCTCCAACACCCTAGCTCCTAGCACTCTTAAGTACTTGGTGTACTTCAGTAAGTACTGGGATTAGAGATGAATTCATTTTTTTCCCCAAATTCGCCGTAATGAGATTATATAGCTTTCATTGTGGAAAAAAAAAAACATACAAAAAGACTGATTTCACACCCCAAAAACAGTATAACAGAGGAAGGGGCTTTAATGTTGTTCACAAAAAGGTATCAAAAGTCAGACAGATCTATAATAAATTAAGTTTACAAATGGGAAAAACCATGTTGTTCAGAGTAATGGAATGTGCAGTGACGGGGCGGGGGGGATTCTCTTCCGTGTGGAATGACAGAGCTTATCTATACCACTTCAACGTTTTCGACGACTCTGAAATTTGTAAATAGCTGGGGAGTTCACTGTTTGTTTCTTCACCTTCACCTTCTGAGTTTTATCCTATAAAAGAGTAAAAAGGTTACCGGTAAATAGTAGGAGAGTGGTCATAAACTACTTATTAGCCCTAATTCAGCCCTTCTCAAAGAGCAGGAGACACACTACAGTATCCCCAGATGCAATGAATCATCTTCTCCCCTGGGAATCCATAAGGCTACCACCAGTGTGTAGAAGTTCTTGGAAAAACTGAGAGGTACTCAAATCATTTTTTTTTTTTTTTTTTGGTAGGGCACATCCTCACACGGAAGCCTAGTTGAGAAAGGCAGAGCTGAGTGATCTGGAAAACTGAAAGATCTGACATTTAGAGGAACCATAAGAATATGAACGGGACATCGTATAATCCTTAGCTGTGCTATTTAACTACACAATGTTATCTATTTTTAAACACCCATGAGTGACATGCGCTGTTTTTTTAACCTGTTTAGACGTTACACATAGCTGCTCCTAAGCTATAAAGTTCATATGCAACCCGATCCTACCCTCTGCTGTTCCAAAGCACTGACTAATAAGCCCCTTATTACCCTTCTTAATCAAGGAACATTTCAACACTGTCAGAGTAACAGACACTGGCTCAAACCACTGCCCCTGAGGAGCAGACATTTTCACTGGGGTTGATTTACACACAGCTGAAATTGTTTCAGCTAAGACCTTTACAAGGGGTGGGGGGTTGGGGGGGAAGGGCCTAAGGCTCTCCTCACCAGAAGATCTTTGCGCGTTTGAATTTTCTGTGCAATAACAAACAATTTCTTCTCACGTTCAATCCGCTGTGTCAGGCAGTTATACTGCTTTTGCCTTTCTTTAGCTATTCGCTGCGGAAGAAACACACACACATTTTCAATAAAATTAACAAGATAAAAATGAATAAACTGCTTTTTTTTTAATTTTTTTTTAATTTTTATTTATTTATGATAGTCACAGAGAGAGAGAGAGAGAGAGAGAGAGGCAGAGACACAGGCAGAGGGAGAAGCAGGCTCCATGCACCGGAACCCGACGTGGGATTCGATACTGGGTCTCCAGGATCGCGCCCTGGGCCAAAGGCAGGCGCCAAACCGCTGCGCCACCCAGGGATCCCCAATAAACTGCTTTTTAATCCACTTAAGACCAGATGCATAAATGGTTTCATCAACTCCCTTTTTACTCAGAATCAAGACAACAAGGGACTATAAAATTGTCCATTTTAGAACACCACATTCTAGGGCTAAACAGAACCCTGGAGACTTGCCCAGGGACATGTGTTTCACCTGGAACAGAGTCAGGACTGTCCTGCGAGTCTCACAGATCCCAGGAATCTTTCCACTACTACACTAAGCCGTTCAACCTCTGTGTGAGCATCCCGGTTACCTAAGGCAATGCAAGAATGAGCCAGTCCTGGAAACCCTAAACAAAGTGAACAGAGGACAGAAAGGCCACTGGGCAGTGTACTGGTGCCTGAGAACCAGAGAGGACTTTTTGGCAGAAGTTGACGTGAGAATTCTCACTGCTGAATACCCCTTATAGGCCAGAGGTCTTTAAATTTGGAGGAATCATATATAAACCCCTGAGAAACTGATGAAAGCTTTGGATTTTTTTTTGGGGGGGGGGATTTTCATGACATAAACATGTATGTGTTTGTACAAATCTGCACAAACGTATACATCTATTTACACAAAATGTGAGTGCGGAAAGAGTGTTCAGACTTCCTTTTTTAGATTTTTTTTTAATTTTTTATTTATTACAATAGTCAGAGAGAGAGAGAGAGAGAGAGAGAGAGAGAGAGAGAGAGAGAGGCAGAGACACAGGCAGAGGGAGAAGCAGGCTCCATGCACCGGGAGCCCGACGTGGGACTCGATCCCGGGTCTCCAGGATCGCGCCCTGGGCCAAAGACAGGCGCCAAACCGCTGCGCCACCCAGGGATCCCCACAGACTTCCTTTATAAAAGCCCATCCCCAGACTGCCCATCCCTCCAAGTTACAGGTTTAAAATTCCCTTGCAATCCACCCACCAGCAGTTTTAATGAAAATATTTTTGCTCTCAACAAAACAACTAAAAGAAACAATACCACTCGACAAAAATGGCAAGCTCCGAACCTTCCCAACTTCTCAAGAGGCGTGCTGGTGAACTATTCTGTTTGGAGCACTAATCTCTTTAGGGACTACCACAACACTTGAGACGTGTTAGTGACACAGCTAATTGAAAATACAACTAATTGACAAACAGGGTTATCACGAGAACACTAGTCAGCCGGCTCCTTAGCTGGAAGTGTTATCTACAAGAGGGGACTATTACTGGGCTTCAGATTTAAACAATTCACCAATTCTAGCACAGTCTCACAGCAGTGGTTTCAGACAGCTTTTGTTTTCACTTTATTACACAGACTGTCAAATTTATGGGATTACCCAATATAGTCAAACTAATTAGGAGTATTTATATTACTACAGCAAGTTTAGCTGCCTCTGAGCTAGAGAAACTGCTGTGAAATTAAACATTGGAAGCAAAGCTGATGCGGTGTAAATGATTCAAATCAAAACAGAACAGCTGTCTGCTTGAAACACATTGACAGCATTTTTTTAAATGAATCAGTCAGAAGTGAGAGTTCAACTCCAGAAGGCTTTGAGAAAAAGCATGTCTTCTGCACAAACCCAGTTCCAGCAATGGAAAGCACAATAAGGAAAAATAATATAAAATTTTGGTTACAAATGCATAATATGTAAAGGCTTTCTGAGATGTATATTTGCCGCTAAAGGTTCAGTATCAGAGTGTATCAAATCCCTAAATCTTCAGTGTCCCATCCTCTCTCTGCATCAGTCACAAGCCTTAAAAGCTCAAAGCCCAGAGAGGTGGGATTCAAGTGCCAAACTAAAAGCCAGACCTAAGTTGCCAGCCACTTGGCTCCAAGTCCCCCAACGTTAAAAACCAAGGAACCTTCCTCCGCTCCCATCGCCATCATCAAATCTTCCTTCCACTCTTCTAATGGAACTTCATGAGTTTTCCTCAAATAATTGTAATAAATATAATGGGGGAAAAAAGAGAAGGGGGCACCTGGGTGGCTCAGTGGTTGGGTGCCTGCTTTTGGCTCAGGTCGGGATCCCAGGGTCCTGGGATCGAGTCCCACATCAGGCTCCCTGCATGGAGTCTGCTTCTCCCTCTGTCTGGGTCTCTGCCTCTGTCTCTCTCATGAATAAATAAATAAAATATTAAAACACACACACACACCCCTAGATTCTCCTAAGCAAAGACCCAAAAAAACAACGGAAAAAATTACCTTCAGTCGAATCTGCTGGGTAACCCCCTTCACCTTCTCCTTCTGCAAGGTCTCTATTGTGGGTCTGTTAAAGACTCTGTCAACTAGTTCCGGGGCTGTTCGCAGGTGAGTGGCAATATCAAACTGCTCAACTGAAAGTCAAGACAATTCTTAAGGTACCATCTGACACCAAAAACAGGCCAACATGCTAAACTGTCTCAGAAACCCTCAAACGTTTCATACCTTCCTTTTTGGTGTCAAAAAAAAACGTATGCTTATTCTTTTGCTTCCCCTGGAAATCCAGCAGATGGAGCTCTGATTTTAGTCTTTCAATTTTCTAGAATACAGAACATGATCTCATCTTATATTAGGTTCTTCCAGGGGATCAGACATGAATGTGCATAAGTTTAAACCATTTCACATCATAATCACAAGCCATCAAAAACTGTGCTTCCTTCTTTTAAAGGAAAAGACAACTACAATTTACCAGGCACCAACCACATGTCAGGTACTGGGCTACACGTTCCAAATACTCATTTAACATTCCTATGAAATAGAAATGAGGAACCAATTTTTCAAGAAGATTAATGTGTCCATAATCACGGGGCTAATAAATGGCAGAGCCAGAATTCAAAACTAAGTCTGTCTCATTTCCATTCCACCATACTGTCCATACTTCTAAATCATCATCATCATCAACAAAGTGCTTTAAGGCTGTAAATGCCAGAAAAACGTAACTTCTAATTCAAGATCAATGAATTTATATTTCATTCTTTAAACAACAAAAACACAACAGAACAAAGGGTTTCAGTTGTTACCTTAACTTCCGCAACCCTTTTCATTTCTATGTATTTGACATCCTGGGTTCTCATCAGTTTCAGCTGTTCTGGAGTTACTTCTTCCTTAGTCTCCTTAATAACGTGAACTCCGTCCTAAAACCCAAATTTAAAACATATATTTCCTATTAGATTAAAATCATGACTAAACCATTCACATAGCTCATGACTGAAACAAAGACGACGGACTGCCATACAGCAGTCCAATGCACCTAAGCCCCTGAGATGCATGTTGAGTTTGGCACCCAGTCATCCATTCTCATCCACTAAGGACAGCTCCAGGCATAAGACAACTCACATTCCGGAGCAGAAATGCATGCTATTCATGAAGGGGCAGTTTGCCTTGGATACTGACCAAGAGCACCTGGACCAACTAGAGAAGGGCTAAATAAAAGCCGAAGATCTTTCCTTTCCATCTCTCCCCCCCCCACCCCCATCCTTCTTTTCTTTATTTAGGTGGAGCTCAGAATACCAACTGATCCATCAGGCACCCACCTGGAGTTTAACTCGAGTCATTTTATAGTAGAATTCATCTGGATTTTTTTCAAGAGCCTTCTTCCGGAGAGCTCTGAGGTAGTCTTGCTTTTTCCGGTAGTCACTAAAAGGCAGGTTAAGTGAGGTTCACAGCAAAACAAAAAAAACAAAAACCAACCACCCACAATGAGCAAATCTTAAAAGCATCTAAAGTTTACACAAAATGAAATCCCAAAAAGCCAAAGCAATGATTACATGTGATTCAGACTCCACCATCACTGATGTTGAGCTCCTGTCTAGGTAGGCTCCTCTCCTATCCCAAAATTCATCTGTAATTAACTGTCCCCATATCCCATGTGTTACTGCCATTTACCTCATTACAGAGAACCACCAAACAAAACACACGTTAAACTTCATTAGGCAAGGTTCTGAAGCAAGCTTGGGCACCAGATGACCAAGTAAGATTCGGAAACTATACAGCGCAGTATAGCCTACTGACTAGAACGGTGGACTCTGGAGCCAGACTATCTGCATGAACACCCCAACTCCACCACTTTGGGCTAAGTAATCCTGAATAAATTAGTTAACCAATCTGTATTACAATTTAATCTGAAAAAAAAAAAAAAAAACAATTTAATCTGTAAAATGGGTGTGATAATAACAGTGTCCCAGAACACTGTTGGGAGGAATACATAAGTGCAAAAACTGCAAGTCTCCTAGAACTCTGCCTGGGCCAATAATAGCACTCAGTTATCATTATTAATTATTAGCTTTAAAAACTCTGGGACCCAGAGCAATCCACCTAATCCATCACCATCTGTACCACAAGCACAAAGGACTCCAGCTGACATGCACAGTTAACAAACAATTATATTCTCCAAATAAAGTGCTAAAGAAAAAGAATGGGGTAATTGTTTTATAAAATGTTTTCAGAGTTCATTATCACCCACGCTCAGTCTTATGAATCCATCTTTCACATCTCTTCATTCCACACCACACACGCAGTGATGTAAGAGACTCAACAACTGGAATTTTAGATTATATCTTGCATTTCAAGAAAAGAGAGAAGAAAAAAAAAAAAAAAAGAATCAGCTTTTGGCTCAAAGACCAAGGCAGGGGCAAACCAAAGCCACTATGAGAAAACTATCTGGAGCAACATAAAAAAAAAAAAAAAAAAAAAAAAGTCCACAGCGCAACTACAGATAGATAAATTACACTCTGTCCAAAGAGAAAAGTTTAGGGTCACAGACAAGTATGTGACAGGTTGCCAGAGTTTTGGCCATTTTATCAATGGCAAGAAGCTATCCCCTCTCGGACACTTGGGCAATGTTCAGCTGCAGTGCAGGGAAGCTGTCCGCTTTCTTGGCAGCACCCCAGCAGAAAATTGAACTTACTCTGCACGAAGCTTGTAATCTTTCTTTTTCTCCAACAGGCCCAGATGTTTTCGAAAGCCGGGCTAGAAGACAAAAGAGGGAAAAAAAAGTGCTTAGTTCCCTCAGCAAACACAACAGGACACCTGGCAGGAACAAGAGTCTCTGGAGTGCTCAGTAAATCCATGTCCTTGGAGCCAACTTGCTACCCTGTCCCCTCCCCTCCCCCAACTGGGCTCTGCCCAAGGATGAGAGGTACCATACAGGCGCCAGAGAGGTCACAAGCACTGCCATAGTAGGTTTCCTGGCCTATTAAGGACAGAGAGAGGCAACAATGACTCGGCACTAAGCGAGCAGTTGCCAGCTGTACTAAAATTACTACAGACTTAATCCAAGGATTTATAAAATACTATGAAGAGAAAACATAATAACAGGGAGGCAACTGTGGCAAGGGCACTAAATTTAGTCTGGAGAATTGGGTTCAAATCCAAGCTTCACTTCTTAACAACCTGTGACCTTGGGCAAGTCACTTACCTTCTCTGAGCTGCTGTTTCCTAACTACAAAAACGAGACTACTACTACCTGCTTCTCAAGGTTATCATGAGAACTAAATGAGCCTCTGCACGTGCTAGTGCCAGCACATGGCCTGGCACACAGCAGGTACCCAGCATATGTTTCCTGTTATGATTATACCTTCGGTAAGAAGTATGAAAGAAAACCAAGTATGACACAAAATACTTTCTCTGACACGGTACTTGGATAGCATAGGAGGCACAAGGATTCTATCTTGGTATTATCTCTCCACAAGCTATTTGTTGAGCGATTAATACATGTCAGTGTCTGTGCTAGATGATTCTGCCTACATCAACGTAACAGGCCACGTTTATTAAGCACTTACTGTTGCAAAGCAATCTGCTATGCTTGTTACATACAATCTCATTTAATCCACAAAACAAACACGGGAAGTAGATAAAACACAACTGTTATCCCAACTTTCCAAAAGGAGAGTAAGTTTAGAGAATAGCCTGCCCAAGAACACAAAATAACTGGCAAAGCTAAAACTAGAAACCCCTCAGTGTGGGGCCACCGTCTGTGCTCTGCCCCCACCAAATGAGACCGCATCCTCTTCTGCTCTGAATCATCTCGATTTTTTAAGAAGCACAGACACTTCTCTACGTTTAAACTTGTACAATAATTAAGATGAGATTTTTAAGGCACCTTTCTCGTCTCTTATCCTCAAAGTGATATGACAAATAACTCAGTAATTAAAATAACTAAAATAAAAAACAACAAACCACGAAAAACAGGTGTTGGGGAGGATACGGAGAAAAAGGAACCCTCTTGAGCTGTTGCTGGGAGTGCAAACTGAGGCAGTCACTACGGAAAACAGTATGGAGGTTCCTCAAAAAGTCGAAAATAGAGCTACCCTACGATCCTGGAATCGCACTACTCGGTATCTGCTCAAAAAATACAAAAACACTAACTGAAAGGGATCTGCATTATAGGAAACCTGGCATTGCAGATCTGAAATAGCTCACCTAATCACACCTACCCCCTCCATACAAAACATCTTCAGTAGCTGGCCCACCCCCTCAGTGAAAGACCTTGAAGGATAAAGTCCAAACTTGACCCAAACATGGAGTGCTCTTGTCAACATGTTTACCCGGCACGGCCGCCTCTGTACCTCTCCTGCAAAGACCCTTTATTCCTACTCAAACAGGATGCTTATGGCCAGCCGCAGAAGCCCCCTGTCTTCTGTTAATCCAAACCAACTATTTACAACTGTGACTTTGGACACATCATTCAATCTCTCATATATATATATATATACACACACACACACACAACATTTTATTTATGCATAGGAGACACAGAGAGACAGAGAGAGGCAGAGACATGGGCAGAGGGAGAAGCAGGCTCCATTCAGGGAGCCCGATGTGGGACTTGATCCCAGGTCTCCCGGGTCACTCCTGGGGCCGAAGGCAGGTGCTCAACCGCTGAGCCACCCAGGCGTCCCATCATTCAATCTCTTTAAGCATCAGACTCATTTGGAAAATGACAACATCTACCTCACGGACACGCTGTAGATTTAAATGACATAATCTTGCACAGTTGTTGGGCTATACCCTAGCCTACATTACAGTCAGTGCTTGAAAAGCTATTATCATTGCCTTCCAAGTCCAGCAAGTTCCATCGTGATGCTTTCCCTCATCATCTCTGCTCTTCCGATCCAAATTCCTCATTTGGCGTTTTTCGTGCACCACCTATGAAAGTGCCTCTCTCTTCATCTTTCAGCGGCCCCTGGGTTCAAAACCTGTGGCCTGATTCCTGACTTTGCTGCTTGCCAACTACTGCTGTGTGTCTTTGGCAGGCAATCTAACCTCTCTGAGCCTTAGTGTCCCCATCTGCAAGCGTTGAGAAAATGGTCCTACGTCCTTCCATGCAGTGTTGCGAGTTCAATGAGATGACGGGAAAGCGTGTTTTGCACTTCGTGGCACACAAGAAACATTTCCATCATTACTTTCACACAGACCCATGAATTAGGTTCAAACCAGGCGGCAAATTACACTACTGCTCCCAGTAGTACTTACTGAGCACACAGTAAGTGCACCATAAAATATCTGATAAGAGGCCCTAACCCCATCCCACCCATCGGCAATACCAACACTTTGGCCACGTCCTTCTCCCTCTCCGCCCCAACCGCATAATGAAATCGGACCGCAGGTCCCCATTAAGGGCCTTCCTGGATCGGTTACGATGGGCTTTCCACGCACAGCGGAGCGGATACACTGATTCTTCATACATGCAACCAATTTCTACTCCACCTCCCCAACAGAGACACATGCTCCGTGCGCGCGAGGTCCTATGAGTGTCTATCCACCTGAATCTGATGGTGGCGAGTCACAGAAGCTGCCTGGACCTCCGTTTCCTCACCTGTACGATAGGGACGGAAAACCTCAACGTTACGGCGTGACACATAAAATGGGTACGCGGCAGGTCTCCGCGGATTCTGCGCCAAGCCCACACCTGACGGTGCTAACGTTACCATCGCCCATCTCTTGGGTCACAGCCCCCCTGTGCAGCAGCGGGCTGGGCGAGCGCTCGGGATGGCTCCAGCAGGTATGCGCTTTGATCTCACCTGTCCCCGCCCCCCCCCCGAAGGTCAAGCACTTTGCACACAGTGTCTCGCCCAACTCCCTCACTGAAACCTCGCAAGACGTCTCCCCGTGGTGCCCAGGGGTGCCCAGGGAACGGGGAGCAGCCAGTGCTCCTCCCGGGGTGCTGGACGCCCCCAGCTCGCCCGCCGCAAGGCTCCGCCCCGGGCACCCGGCGACACCCCTCCCCCACGCGCGGCAGGGACCCGGGCCCGTAGAGGGAGAGGAAGAGGGAGGGGGGGAGGGGGAGGGGAGGGGGCCGCAGGTGAAGACGAGGAGGGAGGGAAGGGGGAGGAGGAGGGAGCACCCCCGGCCACGGGCCGGCGCCCGTGCGGCCCCACCTGGCTTCGCTCTCGGTGTTCCCGCTGCCGGGACTTCGCCGCCTTCCGAAACGCCGCCGCCATGTCCGCTCGCGCTCCGGAGACAACGCCTGCCCCGCACCGCCTCGGCCGCCGCGTCCGCCGATCCTCTCGGAAGTAGGCCGAGCGCCAGCTGCTTAGAACCGCCCACTTCCTCCGCGCAGCCTATCCGGCGCCTGCCTTTCCGGAACTACGTCCTCCGGCAGAGGCGTCCAGCCCCAAAGTTGCCTCTGGGAAGTGTAGTTTCCTAGGTCTAGTCCCGTGACTCTGCGAGAGTCCGTTCTCATTCGCCAGAGCTTGGGCACGTGTACCGAGATCTCGTTTTCGCGCTCGGCTCCGCGTTGGCACCTGGGAACACGTGGCTGGCACTGCCCTCGGGCTGAGCTGCGCGTAGAGTGTGCGCATGCGCGGGCCCCTGCCGCCCTACTCCCCTTGCTCTATTTGCGCGGTGCGGTTAAAGGTGGAGTCGTGTGAATGTTACCCTGCACCGGAAAGAGCACCCTAGAGACAGGAGGCCTTAAAAGCCATGTTTGGCTCTGCCACTTACTGGCCGTGTGACTGTAGACAGGTCTCTTTAATGAGCATCATTTTTCTCGGCCATAAAACGAGGATGATGATAGTGTGCTCTGCTTGCATCACAGGGACGGTCGAGAGGCGCACAGTAGAATGGAGGAGTTCTATCCTAGCAGTAGTGATAAAATGGGAGCCCTTCACACACTCAGGGAAATGGCTAGCTGGGAGAACGAGTGTCAGAGGCAGTACAATATCATTAGGGCCAAAAACCATAGAGGTGTGTTCTGATCCTACACTGCCACCCACCACGACAAAATTAGCCCCAATGCACCTCAGTCTCCCCATCTATAAAATGGTAGTAATAATGCTACACCCACAGAATTGTTGTAAGGGATTAAAGGAACTAATATGTTTAAAGTGCTTAATGCCGTGCTCAGCCCTTAAACAAGTTCACAATCAACGGGAGCAATGGTTGTGGTTGTCATTGCTAAACCTACCGGTAAGGATAGAGGGTCCCATACAGCGGAGCATTCAGGGGCATCTGGTTTCTTTTCCATCTCATGAAGCTAACCCTCAGCGGGTTCTGTGCACCTATCTGTCATGACAGGTCTCGGCCCTACAGCTGAAGCGCTCTGAGGAAATCCTCTCCTCAGTCCCAGGAGGTGCCATTCCAGTAGATGGGTGGGCATGACAAAGCTGAAAGTAGCTGAGATGTGTCATGTGCAAAGGGTCCCAGACATGAACAAGCGTCTACTTCATTCGTGACGTAACCACTGAAAGACAAGGCCCTTCCTGGTTTAGCCCACCACTCCAGCCTCAGCCCGGTTAACGGGACCCAGGAATCAGCCTTGGATTTGAACCGCACATGCACCACTATCAGCTTGGATTTGGGGCCACATTGTCAAATTCTCTGAGCGCCACATCCTACTCTATCATATAGTGGTAATAATATAACCAACCCATATAGCTTTTGTGAGAACCCAAGGAGGCCAAGGCTAGCACTTGGCATAATGGCCCGCATGTAGTCAGCATTTAGCTCTTCCGCTCGCCTCCCCTCCCACCCCCACCCCCACCTGACCCTGCATACTCTATGGAAGTCGCTTACTTCACCTTCTACACCATGGAGCATTGCCAGGCTTGGGGTCACAAGAATAGTGTTCCTGGGCAATCTGAAAGAGGGTGTCTGCTAAGCCATGAGTCCTGGCAGGGGCTCCAGGCAGCCCAATGGGTAAGAGCAGGCAATACGCCCAGAGAAGGAAGGAAGTCTTCTCACTGGGGAAAGGAAGGCTTGTGATCACAAGCATCAGGGAGTGATTCAGCACCCAGAGGAAACCATAAGAGGCCTGTCAGTTGTCACCCAGGGCCTCCTTTTAAAAAACGCTTCCAGGTTGAAAGAATAACCAGGAGACCCTGAGCAAGCTCCCTTCCACCACAAAATAAGGAAAGGTGTATAGGGGCCTCCTGGGTGGTTGAAGAGGAACCCAGAGCCCACTCACCCAAGGCTAGTCATCCAGCGATCAGGCTCTTCTTCCAGCCCCAGCTCGGACACACCTGTTCCCCAGAGGGCGGGGGAGGCCTGATGGGAAACAGGAACAGGGAGTCCATGTGGCTGATCCCTAGACCTCCCTAAGGCACGTAGTCATCCTGGGCCAATGGAAACGTGAACCCACTGGGGAGCTACAAATGGGAAGGGGAAAGGACATAGCCCCTGCCCTATACCAGTGTCCCTCCCCCAGGCTAGGCCAAGCCAGAAATCTAATTTTCTCTAACCTCCAATCCAAGCAGCAGAACCTTAACACTTGAACGTGAAAGGGAATGTATAGGGGCAAAGCAAATCCCACATATTCAATACCTGCTGTATACTCTCCTCCAATATTCGCGAGAATGCTGTGAGTCAGGGAGTCAACCACTCTTAACCGATGAGCAGCCGGAGGGGTAAAGAGGTTGAGTGACTAAAGAGGCTGCAGGTCTGGCCAGTTAAGCTCTTTTTGGCATAAGGAGCTTTGACATTTGACTGCCTGGATTTGAATCCAGGCTTTGCTGTTATTAGCTGTGTCGCCCTTGGTAGGTTACTTACTCTCTCTGTATTTCCTTTTTTTCATCTTTAAAATAAGGATAAGAATACACATTTCATACAGTTGTTGGATAGTCAAGTGCATTAGTGTATGCAACGTGCTTAGGCAGGGACTGGTGCAAAGAACTTGGGAAATGCTGGCTCCTATTAAGGCTGTTCAGCAGAGATACAAGCCGTGAGGAAACACTAGAGACCCCAACTCTAGCTTTGATCCAGCAGCTTCCTTAGTCTACCCCTCCCTCTCTGAAACCTGCTCATTTTGCCCTCCCCTCACCTCAGAGCCCTTCCCAAGGCAAGGAGCCTCCTACACCTAGATGACAAAGGCCAGAGAAAGGGCTCACCCATGCACTGGCTGGTCACTCCCTGGACTCCAGGTAGCAGGTACCTGAGGTCCAAACTGGGGGGGGGGGGGGGAGTTGAAACTGAAGCAGCGTCTGTCATTCATTCATTCGTTCAATATTTATTATGTGGCAGACATAGGAGTAGGTACTGGGAATGTGGTAGTGAACAAGAATAACCCAGTCCCTGCCCTCGTGGCACTTACAATCTAGGCATTAGGAACAATAACCAAGCAAATATTTTAATTTGGGGAGGAAACCTGGCCTCGACGGTGACTTGGGATCCGGGAAGACAGGAATATGATTTAGAGATGGGAGAGGAAGGTATTCAGGAGGCCTGGCCTGGGAGCAAACGAGTCTCTGTTCTGAGAGCTTGGCTAGACCCAGCCTGGGGGATGGGAGAAGCCCTGTGGCACCTGAGTCTCTACTCTAGATGCTGAGGTTATTTCTAGAGTCAGTTTGTTGTCTCCTGTTTTGCAAACAGTACAGCACAGCCTCCTCCTCCCTCCCCCACCCTTCTAGATCGAGGCTATTTATGCCTAGTGACAAGCCTGAGGATCCCAGGGGGATTGGCCCAAGGACCTGGAGGGGCCTTGTGTCCCTGGCAGGCAGCAGTCCACCCTCCCGGGGCACAGGGAGAAAGCCAGAGGATTGGAAACTGTAGAGGTGGGGGAGGAAGGGTTCCCTCCACTTCCCTCCACCAACCCTGCGGTGCCCCATCCGTGCACACTCTTCACACCCCTCCCTGAGAAACCCAAAAACCATGGGGCCAAGGATTAGGGTCTCCCCTGGGCCTCAAAGGTCATAACTATTCCTGGGCACTGTGGAAACCCAAGGCCGAACTTCTCTGTCCCAGGGTGCCTCCGGAGGTGAGGAGGTGGGGGGTACTTCTGTTTTTGCCACTCAAAAGTTGTGAAATCATTGAAGGTCAAGGCCCAGTCTGGGGTCAGGCGGAGGCGGAGGTGGGGGGGTCCCTTCTTCACTCCCTGTTTCCAGAGAACACCTTGGTTCCCGTTGATAGGGAGGGCCGTGACAGCAGAGTCAAACCACCCCCCACACACAGTCCCGGGCCTCCAGGCTGGATGAAGGCCCCTTTACAAGTTGGGTCTAGGTGTGACCCTGGGGGGATGAGCTGGAAGGTGGGAGTGGGGGCGCACGAAGAGGCCATGAGGGAGGACCCCAGGGGACTTGGGTGGGCTGGGTCCCGGCCCCCGTGCTGGAGATCGAGTGCAGCAGGCGGTCTCCAGCGGGCTGCTGGGGGGTGCAGGGGGTGCAGCAGGGGAGAGGACGGCGGAGGCAGGAGGGGACGGGGGGGGCGGGGTCCCGGCGCCCGGGAAGGTCGGGCGAGCCAGGTTAGACCCGCGGGCCCGAGGGGGGGTGTGGGCGGGGTCTGGCCCCCGGCCTGGGGGTGCGGGGCGGGGGCGGGCGGGGGCGGGGTCCGGGCGGGGCGGGCCCGGCGCGCACTTCCTCGGGGAGGGGTTGGGGCCGCGCTCCACTCGCCCGCTGGGTCCGTGCGCACCGGCCTCGCCGCCGGCCGCCCGCTCGCCCCGCTCGCCCCGCTCGCCCCGCCCGGCCCCGCTCGCCCCGCCCGGCCCCGCTCGCCCGGCCCGCAGGTACGAGCCGCCGAGGGACCGCGGCCCGGCCTCCCCGCTCCCGCCGCCCGCTCCGAGGTGAGCTCCCGCCCAGGCCGGCTCCTCGCCCGGGGCCCCCGCGACGCCCCGGGGGCGCGCTTGCAGCGGGGGGCGCCGAGCCCCGGAGGGCGCCCCCCCACCCCCGGGACCGCCCGATCCCGGCCGCCCGGCGGGGGAGGGGGTTGCTGCTCGACACCTGGGGATGGCGGGGGAAGGGGCCAAGTTTGAAACGGAGAAGCCAGAGTCGAGCGCGGGACCTGGAGGGTTGGGGAAACTGAGGCTCCCAGAAAGCCGGGCGGAGCCAGACCAAGACGCGGGCCCGCGCGGCAGGCTTGGACAGGGGGCTGCAGGGGGACCCGAGTCAGGGAGTCAGGGAGTCAGGGACAGGTTCTGGGGGCGTAGAGTCCCCGAGAGGGAGCCCGGAGGCGTCTGGACGGACCTAGGTTCTGTGGGTTGGAGCGCTGGAAGGAGAAGCGTCCCCTGACCCCGGTGAACACGGTGCAGCGCCCTTCCCAGGGCTTTGCAGGGTCCCGGGCGCGTGAGGGGCCCCGAAGCCTAAGCCTCCTTAGCCCTGTGGCACATCAGCCTCTGTGAGGCCTATGGAGCCGTCCAGAAACTGCAGACAGGGACGCTCACGAACAGAGGTGCTCCGAGGAGGAAGCGAAGGGGTTGGGGTCGGAACCCCTTGGAGGCACTCAGTTACGAAGATTTGGGTGTACAGAGGTAGAAATGAGCAGAGGTCACCAGCCCGGGACACGGGTCCCCAAAACACGAAGACAGCTGAGGTGTGCAGAGGCACAGTTGCGCTGCTTGGGGCGCAGCTGGCTTTGCTCGAGGCCGCCCTGACAGCTTCCCAGGCAGACCCCGAGACACTGAGGCCTGAGAAAGACTGGGAAGCAGGGGTGCGGGGAAACAGACTCTGGGCCAGCCAGGCCCCTGTGAGGCAAGGACCCGAGACAGGCACGTCGGAAAGGAGCCCCAGGCACACACCAAGACAGCTCCAACTTATTTTTAAACTCAAATCATGGACGTGCTGCTTCAGCCCTGGGGGACCCGGGGTGAATGAACTGTTCCTCTCCGGTCCCCAAGGCAGCTGCTGGATCCCGCTTCCCGCTCTCCTTCCCCTAAACTGCTCTGACTCCCAGGCCCCATGGCGGGGAGGGGTGGGGAGAGGGAGAGTTTGGGGTTGGTGCCTGATACCGGGAGGTGGGGGCTGGGGGGGGTTAGGTTTCTCCCCTTAAATCTCCTGTCAGTTCCTGGGAGCTGGGGGGAGGGGTCTGATCTGATCCTGACTCACAGCTGTGAGGCCTGGCCAGGGTCCTCCCCGACAGTGCAGGGTGGATGGGGGCAAAGGAGTTGAGCGGTTGGCATGGGCAGTTGGAAAGGCTTCTGGGTGCCTTCCAATGGCAGGGTTAGCAGCTGGGGGAGAAGACTGAGACTCCTGTGCTAGTGATGTCACCGAGTACCTCCCACACCCCTGCTCTTAAAATGTTGACCACCCCGTTTTACCACCGCTGCACCATTTTTAGAGAGAAAAACAGGAAAGGGCTCCAGGCTGGGAAGCAGGGAACCTGGGCTCTCCGAGGCCTGAGTGACCTTGGGCCTGGCTTGTCCCTGTGCTCGACTGTAAGATGGGAATGACATCCTCTCCTGCCTGCCTTTTGGGAGATCTGGTGAAATGGTGGATGGGATTGCTCTTTATGGGAGGCCAAGCAGCATGCAGGTGTGTACACCTGTGTACCTGTGTGAGGGGTCTCAGGAGTTATGCTCATTGGCACCAGGCCGGCCCCACTGATCTCCTCAGGCAGCCCGATGGCCTGGGCTTCTTCACTTCCCCTAGTGGAACTGGGGAGTGGGGGTGGGGGTCCCTCTTTGGTCTATCCCTGGATCTACCCTGAGAATGTCCAGGTCAAAACCCAGGCCAGCTCCCTGACCCAGGCCTGGCTCAGAAATTTGTCTGACCCCCGTATGAGTGAGGGGCTGATCATAAAAACGCCCATAGCTACCATTCACTGAGGAGTCCCTTTCTGCCAGGTGCTTTCCAAGCACCACCATTTCAGCCTGACGACAACCCCGGGAGAAGGGGGTAGGCGTAGAGGAAAACAGGCCCAGGAACCTTAAGTGACTTGCCCAAGATCACCCAGCTAGTAAGAGAAGAAGTCAGGATGCCCACCCCAAGCCACATTTGGGCCTACTATACACTATGCCACAGCCATTTATCTAGCCATTCTGACCTCTGGGAGGCTCACTGGAAGGTGCCAGATGTGTGTGTCAGGTGTAGGGGTGGTGTGTGTGTGTGTGTGTGTGTGTGTGTGTGTGTGTGTGTGTTGAGGACAAGAGTTGAGAGCCATCTGGCAGACTGAGCAGTCTCCTCTGTAACCCCCCCTCCCCAGGCCATGAGGGAATATAAGACTGGTTCTCTTCAGTTCTATTGCTGTGCCAGGGAAAGTGGGAGGGAGGGGAGGAAGGGGGATGGGCAGGGACAGGTGGGTCTCAATAGTGCCCTTCACTCTGTCCTCATTAGAGCCCAGCTGGACAAACTAGGGGACTGGGGGATTCTGGGAAGGAAACAGAAGCCATGCCCATACCCTATTTGGGGTGCCCCTGTCTCAGAGTGATGACTGCCTCCCAGAGGGTGGCCCCAGGGCTACCCTGGGCCCGGGAAGGTGATGGCTGCTGTGTGCCAAGCCAGAAAGGAAGGAAAAGATTTGGGGCACTCCCCAACGGACCATGGCCACACACTCCACCTGTGTGGTCCCCTGCTGCCCAGTGGCCCACAGCCCAGGCAACCCTCAGATATTGGGCCAGAGGAAACCCAGGCCTGATTGGCAGGGAGCGGATGGAGAAAGAGAGCTGCCCTCTACCCCACAGCATAGCCCTGCCCCAGAATCACCTCTCTGAAGACCCCAGCCCCTGGAGGCCTCGTGGCCTGGCCTGGGATCCGAACTCTGTGTTCCCCCCACTCCATGGTACAGAAGGGCAGCTTGGAGTTCACAAACCATCCCTTCAAGAGCCAGGCCCTCCAGGCTTGGGGCGTTTGCTGGCGCCTGGAGTCTGAACTCCAAGCCAGAGCAACGCTTCTTGGCCAGAATTTCCCACTGGGGGTGGCTGAGAAAAGGAGCACTTTTCCATCAACCCGAGCCTGGGCAGGCTCCGGGGACTGCCAGTTACTGGGGTGTGTGGGGGGGGAGGTAGTGGGCTGGTGGGTTCCTTTGTCCTCTCCAGGCTCCTCTGCAGCTGTGAGAACATCCCCTTCCTAGGAGTCTTGGTGGTTCCTCTCCACCCTCCCTGGGATCCCAGCCCTTAGAGAGCAGGCTTCATGATGAAGGAGGCTGGGGGTGGGAGCTCTGAATCTGGGACCAGAAACTGGAGTCAGGGGCAGCAGAAGGGACTGGGAACCCCACTTCCCTGCCCCCCCCCACTCCCCATGCTCCTGTTCCAGAGGCAGCTGTGCGGATGACCTCATCCTGCAAACATGCTTTGTTCCTGAGAAAATGGAAAGTGTCTGAGGTTTGGTGGGGGCTGGGTGTCTGCAGCAGCAGCTCACAGGGCTCCCCCCTGCCTGACTCCCCACTCGAGGGGGCCAGATTGGGGAGAAGATGTCTTCCGTGGCTCCCACTCTCTCACCCTCTACTCCCCCCCTACCCCAAACCCTCAGAAACCGGAAAAGCTGGGGAGAGGTTGTTTCTCCCAGAGGCCGGGGGAGGGAAATAATGACCTAGGGGGTTGCAAAGCTCTGCCAGGAGTGATGGCTGCCTGGAGATGGCAGGGGGCACACTGCATCATCTATGTTTTTAGTTCCCCTCTCCCTCCCCAGGCGTCTCAGGTTCCCTTTTTTTCCTCCCCTGTTGCTGGCCAGACCTGACATCTGGCCGTCTGTGCTGCCACAGCTGCTGCAGATGTTGCAGGCCGAGGCTGCCCAGGCTGGTGTGACCAGAAACCCAGCAGGGGCTGGAGGGGGCTGAGGGCAGAGGGTCCAGCTGGGGAAGCTTGGCTGTGTCCAGCTTGCAGGATTTCCTTCCTGCTTAAACCCAGGCTGAGCCTCTGAAGTGCTTGCTCTGGCTGATTCTCCCGGAGGGAGGCCCGAGGTGACGTCCACCTCCACCATTCATGGCCCAGCAGCCCTCTAGCAGTCGGCTGGACCAGGAGAGGGCAGGCACAGCCCATTCACATCCCTCGAGGTTCCTCTTTGCATATACCTAGGGCCCCTTCCTGGGAGTCAGGAGAGGGTGGGAGTACTGTTCCTACGGGATACAGAGTGGGGTGGCTCCCTGCCCCTACTCTCATCCCCATGGGGACAGTAGGGACACTGGAAGCTAAACTCAGACTGGGGCAGGAAATGAGTCACTGACCCAGGAAAAGCCCCCTCCCCCCAGATCTGCGAGGGCCCAGATAAGAAAACAACTTCTGCTTCCTGATTTTTTCCTGACCCCTTCTCCCCCCACCCCACCCCACCCCACTGTTAAATACAGAAATAAACATGCAGGACTCCTGGGTTTCCAGAAGCACCCTGTCTTCATCGCCCCCTGTCCTGACCTGGCATTTCTCAGACCTGGTCTCTTGCTCTTTCTTTCTTTTTTTTTTTTTTTTTTTTTTTTTTTAACACAAAGGACTTTTGCAGGGGGCCAAGCCACAGCCCTTCTGGGTGACCCGCACCCTACCTTTTGCCCCTGGCAGGGCTCACTCACAGCCACCATGAGCGAGGCCTTTGACTGTGCAAAATGCAGCGAGTCCCTGTATGGCCGCAAATACATCCAGACGGACGACGGCCCCTACTGTGTGCCCTGCTACGACAGCACCTTCGCCAACACCTGTGCCGAGTGCCAGCAGCTTATCGGGCACGACTCCAGGGTAAGGGCTGGAGCACACCGGGCAAGGAGTGGGTGGAGGCTGGCAGAGGGGCAAAGGTGCCATCGCCCCTGCCGTGCTCCCCGCAGGAGCTGTTCTACGAGGACCGCCACTTCCACGAGGGCTGCTTCCGCTGCTGCCGCTGCCAGCGCTCCCTGGCCGACGAGCCCTTCACGTGCCAGGACAGCGAGCTGCTGTGCAATGACTGCTACTGCAGTGCCTTCTCGTCGCAGTGCTCTGCCTGCGGGGAGACCGTCATGCCCGGTACGTCCCCGGGGGCCCACCATCCGCCTGCCACCCTGGCCTCCGCGCAGGCCTCGTGCACGTAACGGGGGACTGGCATGTGCCCACTACATCCAGGGAGGCTTAGTATTACAAAGGCCTGCACGCATGGCATCTTTTTGGAAATCTGACATATGTGGGGATCGGTCATGCCTGTACGCTCCTGGGAGATTAGGGTGCGCACAGGCTGGCACACCCAGGTGTACACGTGAAAGCTTAGCACGTAGAGGAACGGACAAGCCCGGTATGTTCCCGAGGGTTTAGCGTGTGCCGGACCTGGTGTGCACCTGTGGGCTTCCCGCGATGCGCAGACTGACAAGCTTGAGACCCCCCTGGGGGTTCCGCATGTGTGAACACCTGCATGTTTGGTACACGGAGGAGTGAGGAGTACAATGAGACCGGCACACTTGGTGCATCGGAGCTTGATGTGTGTAGAGATGGAGAAGCAGGGCTTCAGGGGTGTGATGACCTGCATGCCTCCTAGATGGGTGAGGGCTTAGGACACGTGGAGAGACAGGATTAGGATACACAAAGGCTTTGCTCGTACTGAATCTATCACGTCCAGGGCATTAGGGCTTTGCGTGAGCAAAGACTTGCTTGCCTAGTGTATACGTGGGGTCTTTGTGGGTGTGCTAAAACCAGCGGGTCTTGCGTATAAGGGCTGAGTGCGTGCTGAGTCATCATGCTTGTGACCTGGAGGCCTGGTGTGTGCTGACACAGCCATATCTGGTACATGTGGGGACTTCACCTATGCCAAGCCCTCGTGTTATGGGGGCCTAGCATGTGCCCAGCTAGCGTGTGCAGTGTTTGGGGGAGGGTAGCATGTGCCATATTACGCGGCAAGGGTCCCTGCAGCATGTGCATGGATGCCACCCTGCTTAGGCTATGGGAACAGCAGGGACTGTCCTCAGAGGATGGCAGAGAGTGGAACTCAGGAGCTTGGGACACAGCTTCTGAGTGGGACCCCTGTTCCCCACAGGGTCCCGGAAGCTGGAATACGGAGGCCAGACGTGGCATGAGCACTGCTTCCTGTGCAGCGGCTGTGAACAGCCGCTGGGCTCCCGTTCCTTTGTGCCCGACAAGGGTGCCCACTACTGCGTGCCCTGCTATGAGAACAAGTTTGCTCCTCGCTGCGCCCGCTGCAGCAAGGTGGGGGCTGGGCCAGTGGGGTGGGGGTGAGTGAGGCTCTGTTGTGGGGTGGGAGTCGCCACGTCCCCCTGCTGACAGGTGCTGCCCCCCACAGACGCTGACACAGGGTGGCGTGACATACCGCGACCAGCCCTGGCATCGAGAATGCCTGGTCTGCACAGGGTGCCAGACGCCCCTGGCAGGGCAGCAGTTCACCTCCCGGGATGACGATCCCTACTGTGTGGCCTGTTTTGGAGAACTCTTTGCACCCAAGTGCAGCAGCTGCAAGCGCCCCATCACAGGTGGGACAAGGGTCAAAGAACATTGCGGGTAGGGTGCAAGCAAGGGGATGGGATCTGGTATTGGGTGAGGCTGGGCGACAGGACTGCGCTCCAGATCCACAGAGCTAACCTCCAGCCTCCCTCCAGGACTCGGTGGAGGCAAGTATGTGTCCTTTGAAGACCGCCACTGGCACCACAGCTGCTTCTCCTGCGCCCGCTGCTCCACCTCCCTGGTGGGCCAAGGCTTTGTGCCGGACGGAGATCAAGTGGTGTGTCAGGGTTGCAGCCAGGCAGGGCCCTGAGCCAGGACTCCTGGGCCCAGGACCTCCCAAACCAGGGCTCCAGGACTAAGGCTCCTTTTCCAAACCACCTTTGGGACCCAGCCCCTCCCCAAATTGGGGTTCCTCCTGGGCTCCAGGATTCAGCCTCCCTGCTCCAACATCCTCAAACTGGTACTTCCTTGCCCAGGGCCCCCACACCTGGGCCCTTATGGAGCCTCCATGATTCAAAGCCCTTTCGCAAGCCTGGACTCTAGACTTCAGCCCTCTCCCCACAGTCTGCTTCCCAGACCAAGCCCTCTCCCCAAACCAGGGCTCTAGGCCCAATTCTCCAAACCTGGACTCCAGGACCCAGTCCCCCTTCAATCTAGACTTTCCAGAGACTCTAGGTCTTCAATGGGTGCCTGAGAAGTCCTCAAAAGTGGATTCTACTCGGGCTTGACCCTCCCTAACCCCCATCCCACCCTGTCCCCAAGGCTGGGGCTCTCTGGGCGGCAGCAAAACGGGAATTCACTGTCTAAGGGGATCCCAGAGCACAGGGTTGCGCCCAGTCCGGGTCTGCCTAGTGTTTCCTCATTTCATCTGAGCTCCATTTTGCCCAGAGATGGGCAGAGGGGTGGGATTGGCTCACCCACCTTCCAGATTCTGCAATAAAAGCAGTGTGAGGAAGTGAAGGCCTCTCCGTGTGTTTGTCTGGGGGGTGGGGGGGGAGAAGGAGTGACCGGGAGCCTCAGGCCCTCGCAGCTCCTCTGTGCAGGGCAAAGGAGGAAGCCCCTGGGCCTCGGGGTGGGAAGTCTCTGGAGACCGGGGATCCTCACCGCCGCCAGCCTCCCCACTGCAGGCCAAGGGTTGTTTCCTCCCGGGTGGGGGCGGGAGGGGTTTAGGGGAGATCCCGATCGGGGAGTGGAGCTGGCAAGGGGTTCCCCTGGCCCGTGCAAACCGCGCCCCCCATAGCGCGTCCAAAATCCCGCAGAGCACCCGGGGCGGATCCCCAGTCTGGGCCCGGACCCTCGGCCCCCTTCCCCCTCTTCCCCAGGATTAGCGGAGGCGGCCCGGGATCCGCTCGCGGCCGCACGTTTTTTGCCAAAAAAGGCAAGGATGCAGCTGCACGCGCCGCGGGAACATCTGGATCCGATTCCCGGCATGAATGGGTCACGGCCCCGCCCCCCTGATTCAGGGGGTGGAGGCGGGAACGAGCGAGGGGGGTTGTCCCCCAAAGTGGGGAGATGGGGCGGAGCGCTGCTCCCCCGGCCCCTGCCCCGCCCTCGGCCCCGACGGCCGGAGGCGCGCAGTGCGCACTGGCGGGGGCGCTCCGGGGCGCGCCCTGGGGTGGGGCCCGCGCCCATCCCCTGCGGGAGGTGTCTCCTACTAAAGCCTCCCAGAAATCCTCTGGGCAGGGCATTTTTCCATTTCTCAGAGGTGGAGACTCCACTTGTCCATTCCCCAAAGTCCCCTAGGTAACCACAGGTGGATTCCTGCCCCCCCCCCCCCATTCAATCCTAAACTTTCTGAGGCTGTGGTTGGTTGACATTTTCTTTTTTCTTTTATAGGATTAACTAATGGGATTTGTTTATTTTTTTTATTTTATTTTTATTTTTTTAATGTTGGAGTTCAATGGTTGACATTTTCTTCTTTTTTTAAGATTTTATTTATTTATTCCTGAGAGACACACACAGAGAGAGGCAGAGACACAGGCAGAGGGAGAAACAGGCTCCACGCAGGGAACCTGATGTGGGATTGGATTCCGGGTCCCCAGGACCAGGCCCTGGGCTGAAGGTGGCGCTAAACTGCTGAGACACCCAGGCTGCCCCAACAGGTGACATTTTCAACAAAGCTTTACAGACACCCACCATGTGTGCTTATCGTTCATAATCACACGTTTACACTTTTGTCTCTCTCTCCCACCAGCTTCTACGAGGATGGGGCTCGCACCCGCCTTGCTCACCCCTGTATTCTCAGCTCCCGGCATTTACTACTTGTTCAATAAATACTTGCTGAGGAAGAGTAGTCCAAGCACAGCGAACAGCTGGTGCAAAGAACTGGAGGCCTGAAAAAATATATATATATGGTGCTTTGGGGAAGCAGCGAGTAATTTCATTTGGAGAAAATGCCAAGAGACCGAAATGGCAGGCAGAGGCCAGGTCACGAAAAAAATAAATGCCAAGTTAAACAGACCTCACCCTGCGGGTAAAGCAGCCAGTGGAAATGTGTAAGCAGGGGCATAAGATGATCACTCTGGGTACAGCATGAATAATGGATTGCAGGGGTAAGAGGAGCAGGCTCTGATGGAAGCTGGTGCACTGGTGGAGGAGAGAGAGAAAAGAGGCCAGGGGCATCGGGGGTGGAAAAGACAGGATTTGGTGACTGGTTTGGGAGACTGGAGGAGGAGAAGAAGGTTTTAGAGGGAGGAAGGGAAATGGTTCTGCTTAAGTGGCCTACCCACCTAGGAGGAAGAGGCATACAGGTACCATGTCCTTGATTTCAAGGCAAACATTTTTCAGATTTAACATCTCAGAAACTCAGATGCGACTGTAAAATCAAAGATGTGACATAGTTTGATAATTTTTTGTTTCCTTCTTAGTGGAATATAATATAATGGCGGGATTAACATTTGATGGCATCTCATATTTGATGAAATATGGTAGATTCCAAACTCTACCAAACACACACATACACACACAGTCTCTCTGATCTTTTTAAAATTTTTTTTAACTATAACTTTTTTTAAAGATTTTATTTATTCATGAGAGACACAGAGAGAGAAAGAGAGAGAGAGAGGCAGATACACAGGCAGAGGGAGAAGCAGGTTCCATGCAGGGAGCCTGATATGGGACTCGATCCTGGGACTCCAGGGTGAAGGCAGGTGCTAAACCACTGAGCCACCCAGGGATCCCCAAGTCTCTCCAATCTTGAATGGAGATTTCCCTTCTTGTTTCTAGTGGTGCAGGAAAAGCCTCTGGTGAGGAGTTTGGCCAGGGGTACTCTTCCAAAGGTTGAGATCTTGCTTAAATTTGTAGACGTAAATATAACCCTCACAACACCCCCATGAGCAGGCACAACAAGAGTCATTATCCCTGTGTTATTTTTCAAACTTAAAAAAAAAAAAAGGCAATGCATTCTTACTGTAGAAAAAAATGGAGACTCACCAAAAAGTAAAAAGCATAGGTAAATCACTAATAATTTCTTGACTCGTTCTTTTTTGTTAAGCATGCATGTGCATATACATATTTTTGAGTTTTAAGTTTATTTATTTATTTTTTAAAGATTTTATTTACTTATTCATGACAGACACAGAGACAGAGACACAGGCAGAGAGAGAAGCAGGCTCCATGCAGGGAGCCCGACACGGGACTTGATCCCGGGTCTCCAGGATCACGCCCTGGGCTGAAGGGAGTGCTAAACCACTGAGCCACCCGGGCTGCCCTTTATGTTTATTTTTTTAAATGAAAAGCTAATTTATGTGTATGTTAAGAAAAAAATCTTTCATGCCGGGTGTACACAAAGAAAAATTTCCCTCCTGTACCAGATCTTTGGAGTTCTCTCCTCTTAAACAACAACTGCTGTTTACTGTTACTTGGATATCCTCAGAGAAATAATCTCCTTGTGCATCTATTTTTACACACATTATTATGCATCGAGATCCTTTTCACTTTGTGTGACCATCTTTTCACTGAATTCACATAGATTTTTTTCAACAGCTTTATTGAGGAATAAGTTACATACCCCAAAATGCACCCACTTAGAGTGTACAACTCAATTACTTTGAGCAAATTTAATAGAGTTCATGGAACAAGTATCGGCACAATCCAATTTTAGAACGTTTCTATCACCACCAAATTTGCTGTCACTTCCAATCTCACATGCAGCCACGGAAAACCACTCGTCTACTTTCTGCCTCCATAGATTTGCCTTTCTGGACATTTCATCTCAATATGCCGGATGTCGTTTTTTTGCGTACGGCTTCTTTTGCTTAGCAGGATGTTTTCATGGTTCATCCATATTGTAGCATTCCTTTATTGCTGAACAATATCCCACTGTATGGATACACCACATTTTATTTAACTGTTCATCAGTTAATAGATGTTGGGCCTGGGACCTGTTTTTGTTGACTGCAAATAACACTATGACTGTTTAAATACATGCACATAGGGGCTCCTGGGTGGCTCAGTGGTTGAGCGTCTGCCTTCAGCCCAGGTCGTGATCCTGGGGTGCTGGATCAAGTCCCACATCGGGCCCCCTGCATGGAGCCTGTTTCTCCTCCTGCCTACATCTCTGCCTCTCTCTCTGTGTCTCTCATGAACAAATAAATAAAATCTAATGAATAAATGAATAAATGAATACATGCACATGATTTCATTTCTGCACCTAGAAACTTGCATTCTTTTTTTTATTATTATTTTTATTGACTGTGTAGCATTTTGCCGCTTGGCTATGCCATTTTTTAATTCAACCAGTCCCCCCTGCTTACGGACAACTAGGCTTTCTCTGCATGCGAATTTCTTAAACAAACAGAAAGGATGGCTGACAAGGACACGGAGGTCTAGGGAAGGGGGAAAATAACGTTGTCAGAAGTCACACTGAAAGTTGGGCAGCCCTGGTGGCTCAGCGGCTTAGCGCAGCTTGTGACCCTGGAGACCTGGGATCGAGTTCTGCATCGGGCTTCCTGCATGGAGCCTGCTTCTCCCTCTCTCTCTCTCTGTCTCATAAATAAATAAAATTAAAAAAAAAAAAAGTCACGCTGAAAGCTAAGGACTCCCGCAACTCATGTTCTTCATCTACTCCTCGGTCTAGGATGGGCCTGCCCCGCCCCCCAAGCTCAGATTCCTGCATTTCTGCGCGCCCCCGAGGAGCACCTGCAAATCGCGTGGCGTCGCTCCGCCGTCCTCCGGCCGGCAGGGGGCGCGCTGCTGCCACCTCGCTAGCTCGGTCCGCGCGCTCCCAGCGAGGCTCCCCGCGCTTCGGGTCCCCGAGGCGCTTCCGGCGCCCGCGGAACCTTGGTGCCGCCGGACACTCAGCGTGGGGGGGGAGGGCGGGCGCGCAACGCGGCAGGAGTCGCTTCCGGCCGCGTCGGGGGTCCGAACCCGCGGCAGAGGAAACATGGAGACGATCCTGGAGCAGCAGCGGCGGTACCATGAGGAGAAGGAGCGGCTCATGGACGTCATGGCCAAAGAGATGCTCACTAAGAAGTCCACGGTGAGCGGGGCCTGGGCGAAGGCTGCGCCGGGGCCGGGCCCCCTCCCCCCTCCCCCCTCCCCCCCCCGCCCGAGGCCTCCGCTGCAGCGGCTGAGACCCCGGCCGTCGGCTCCGGCCTCGGGCGGCCCGTGCAACCTTCAGAACTGCGACTCACGGCGCCCGTGTCCCCGTTTGCTTTCCTCCAGCTCCGGGACCAGATCAATTCCGACCACCGCACACGGGCCATGCAGGATGTGAGTGTCCGGTTGGGTGGGGAGGAGCTGCGGGGGGGGGGCAGGGGACGGGGGGGCGGGGCTGACCCGCCGCTGTGGACACCGCATTGGACACGACCTGGCGGCTGCGGAGCCCCCCTACATCACCTCTGCAAACGGGGGACCTCGCATTCCTTCCATCCTGCGCCCCGCGACGTGCAGACCGCAGTTACGGGGACCCAGGCCCCCATCCCTTCGCCCCCCTCCACCTCTGATGCACCACCGGAGTG